AAAACTAGTGCATGATCGGCTAATTCTTGGTTTTTATAACTACCAGTATTGACAAAACCGTCAATTTGGTCTGATGACACATTATAGGCAAGTCCACTACTTAGAGACACCTCATCAAATAGAATTGAACAGTAACTAATACATGAAAATAAAACTATTAGTATATAATATGCAATAATAAATTTAAATAAAATATTACCGTTCTTTGGGTTTTAATTTCTTAACATTTTCTTTTAAAACAGCCATAACAATTGGTGATATCCCTGGGTTTATTGAAACGCTACTCAGAATATTATTCAGTGTTCTTTTACAAGGTAAAGTAAATAGCTTGGACAACAGATTATAACATTTGGGGCTTTTTTTATATAAAGTAAGGCTTAACATTTTTTCGTCTGTTGTAAATCGATGTCCTTTGGATTTTTTTTTTGTTTCCCTCAACTGTAGATTAGTGAATAGCGATGAAGCAGCAGTAAGTTTATCTGAGAACTTTTCATTAACATAAGAATCACTAAATTTCTCAGCATAGCGTAATCTTGTCTTAAAATTCTGTTTACTATTATTTAAACGACGACACTTCCGTAATAAGTTGTTTGTAATAGAATAAAACTTTTTACACTTCGGTGTCAAATGTAAACTTCTGTTCATACCAATATAATCCAATAAACCTGCCATACAAATATAATACAGAAAATTAAATTTTGAATTTTGATATAAACATAATAGGTACATATATAATTTTTAATTAAAAATGTTTGTACATGAAGAAAGATGTAAAAGTTTAAAGTATGTTATTTCAATAAGCAATTGCTAAATAATTGGAAACTATCAATAAAATTAATAGAAAACTATTTACCAGATCTATTTTTCATTTTTTTTGATATTTTTGACTTATTCAAAGCACTAGAATAAAAGCCATCAGCATTGCAAGCAGCATTAGTGACGTTATGCGTGTTCACTAAATAATAGATAAAGCAATACAAAAATTGCCATAAATAAGCAATAGTAAGCATGGATTGATTATTTATAAAAATGAATCACTTTACCTGTCAATACTTCATCAAGAACTGATGTTTCCAATACATTGAAACCAGACATAACACTGTCATCAAGATTCGTATGATCAACTAGTATTAATAGAATAAATATTATAAAAGCATATTATGTTGAATAAGCAAGCATAAATTAAGTTTACCAGACAAAGTTTCATTATTTGATATGACATGTGTTTTTGCTGGTGTACTATAAACAATATTTTCATCCGTTCCAGAACCTGATATTTCTGAATCGCTCTGATGTATGGATATTGAAGCCTTGACACTAGGTTGACTAGGTTTTGAATTAGTACTACCTTAAAATAACCAACATTATTATTAGCCATTACTGAAAATGTAATACCTAAAATCATATAGATTAAAAACCTATTAGACATTAACTTACGAACAGGCACGTATTTGTATTTTACTTTAATAGTATTGAGAATAATTCAAATACCTTGTATGGAAATACTTTTCAAAACTCAAACAAATTCTTTATCAGTAGTCACATATTTTTTTTTTTGAAAGATTGTTTTATGGAGGATTTTCACTATTGCTAAAAAAATGTTACGCCCCCACCCCCTTTCTTGACCCCTTCCACCAAAATAAGGTCCCAGAAGGCAGAAACGTGCCTGCTACAAATAACAATAAATTATGCCATATTTTCATTTTTCTTACAGTATTCAAAAATATCAATATTTGTAAGTAGGTAGGTACCTGGTAATAGTAATGTTGGACAAGATTTCGCATTCAGTCTCTTAGTACCAGGACTAAAAGACTGTTCATCAAAGTGATTATTGCATATAAATTTCTTTTTATAAACATCGTTTGGATCCATTTTGTTCAAACCAACCAAATCAATCCATTTTTTTAATCTCAGAAAGTCCGTTCTGGGATTGGGAAATCGATGAACAACAATACCTATTATAATAAACATCAATAATACATTTAATGTATGCACATTAAAGAAATTAGGTTATTTTGGGTTATATATAATAATATTATGTATATTATGTTCATAGGCGTACGCACAGGGCAAGCCGGTCAAGCCCAGGCTCAACTTGAAACTTTTAAGGGCATAGTAAAATGTGCGTATATATTTTATTGTACTACTTGTACTATAATAATAATATGTTTGTGGAGATCATGGACATTTTATTTTTCGTTAAAGTATAATAAAATCAAGACTATTTGTGTGTACCATTATAGGTACATTCTATTAATCAAACAAAAACATTTTACCTACCTTTATACAAATACAATAACTATAGTACTATAGACATTAATAAGTTAATACATCAACAAGTATGTGGAAGTGTTAAAAAAAAAAATAGGGGCGCTCTCGAAATATTAGGGCACTATAATAATTGCCTAGGCTCGACCAGAAATTTAAGTCCTATGATTATGTTTTTAAAACAATATTACTAACTTAAAACTATAAATTCCATTGGACAATAAACACCTACAAAATGTCAAATTTAGAACTTACATCTTATCTTATCTTTTTCATATAAATTAAATGAAACTGGAAACACCCAGTTTTCTGTAATAATAGGTACTATAAGGAATAACGAATCATTTTTTGAAGAATAATGACTATAAAATAACTCTATTTAAAAAGCATGTTGAATAAAACATTTAAATAATACCTATTTAAATTTTAAAGATATAGGATAATAATATAGAATGCTTGTTGAGTTGTTGCGTAGCTTTTTATTAAAAAACTTACCTTTGGATTGACAGCCATATATTACGCACTTTGAAGCATTTTTGGGAAGCATCATATAATATCGTACAACAGATGTCCAATATAACAGTCAACAGTAAAACTTAATAACCAGTATCCACAAATCACAATACGAAATACTATAAAAAAAAAAATACTATATTCTATGATACCGACCGGTAACCACAATACAAAATACGTAGTAACACGGACGTCGGAGTCGGATAAATGCGAAAAAACCGTTGCCGTCTGTCGGCGAGTGGCGAACGGTGTTCGACCGCCGCCACGACATGCAGCGCTAATGGTGGTTGTACGATGAATCTATACAGTACAAAAGGCTCCTATAGAGTTGCACCAGCCTGCGGTAAACGGTACACACTACACATGCAACGTTGCAACGTTGCAATGTTGCATGATGTATGCACAACGCGAAAGTCATAATATATAGCGCTAATCCATCGGCTCCCTAGCGCGCGCAACTACATAATGGGCTAGTAATTAGTATAGCAACAATTAGCTATAATGATTAATTTGTATTAAATTATAATAGTTCGTAATCACGATCAAAGTCTTATATAATTACATCATTTACATCTCGTTTTTTTAAAAATAATATAGATTATTAAATTTATAATATAGTACTATAATAGTATACACAGGCTAGTATCTTATCAAAGGTACTATCCTATGTATACTATTTTACCTAGACAACGAAATAAACATTGACTTATAAAAAAGTGTCGATATACGTCCGTGATTATTTATTCATATATAAATATAAGTATACAATTAATATATTAATACAAATTTGTGCACATTTATTAATTATTGTTGTTACTATACGTACTTACTATTGAATTATTATTAGTTTTATATTAATTTAAATTATAAAAATAATCGTTTGATCCTTTAGGATTATCGTTTCCTTATTCACGTTCACAAGTCATATTTTCATTGGATTCGCCTTATTTGGATTTATAACGTATTATTTTGTATTCGTTTTTTCATTGAATATAGGTGAACTTGAGGAGCTATTTTCTTTTTTTAGCATTTGTATTTTCTACTGATTGTGTATGTGAAACGTTTTTGTTGTTATTTAAAATCTATCTTTGATAACAGCTATTGCTCCAGGAGTACAACTCGCAGCATTCGTAAGTCATGTACCTACTCGTGTAGCATTGGAGTGGTACCTACTATTTAGTTCGGCGGCCAATAAATTAATCCATTACAAATACTTGAATTCGATTATAAACCAAATAGATTAACTATATTATAATTATACTATCAGCTAATTAGCTAATTATAATTAGTTAGTATATATTTTATAGGTAATATATGTATATAAAAGTAGTTTATTATATTGTATATAAGTAAAAGGGATACCTACCTTTTTAATTTTTTTCAATTGATTCACAATAATAATAATTCGAATTATTATATTATAGTAGGATCCTATTACAACACTCAATAACCAATGATTGTTTATAGTTGAACAAACGTTTAAACAAAACATTTGTGTGTTCTTTTAATTTAATTACTGCACAAATGTTTGATAAAAACTAATCGTTAAATATTAAATACCTAATGATTGTTTATAGATGTTAGAAAGTTAACAACCAAATAGTATTATGTCCTATATTCTTCAATTGATACACAATTGTTAGTACAATAATTCTCGCTCAGTATTCAATAACCAATATTTGTTTATATTTGTATAAACATTTATCGTTTAATATTTGAAAATAAACCGTTAGCAATTATTGGGGAAATATTTATAATGGCCAATTGTTTACTGGGTAAACATTCGCCAATTTCCAATCTGAACAGGAGCTAATCTTTATTTTTTTTTTTCGGTAATTTATTAATTTTACAATCTTCTAAATATTCAAACCAACTGTTTGTTACCGATAAGTCAAGTAAGTGTAGTATAACTTTAAGTGGCCATTTTCTTGTTTTTAACCAAGTTCTGTAATATTCCATCATTTGATCAAAATGATCAACACCACCCATTTTTTCATTGTATTTTGTTATCATATTAGGAATTTGTACGTCAATATATTTTTTTGTTTTTTATCCCATCTGGATACTGTGTTTGTGGGTAAGCCCATTTAACATGTTGATGTTGTAACTACTAACTTGTCTTTCCATTTCAACATGGAAATATTTTTATCATCAAATACAGCTTCTTCGAAATCCCCTCTTTTCATTTTAGGATCGGGTGTTTTAAATTGAAATTTCTGTAGGCGATTCATTTGTATAATACCAGTTCCTTGAATGTTTAGCTGTACTAATTTTTGCATCAACGGAAGAGTTGTAAAATAACGATCGGAAAATACAGGTGAACCTTCTGGTATTGTATTAATAAGACTTAAAATTATAGCCGGTCCAAGTTCTGAACTTTTGTCGGGAAAAGGCGTGGTAAGTCATTGATATATTTTGAAATCAATAATTAGACCATCAGACGTAGAAATTACAAAATTTTTAAGACCAACTGGTCTAGGTTTACCTTTCACAAACTGTCTTATCTGACAACGTCCAAGAAAAGGTATCATTTGTTCATCAATTGAGTAGTAAGTTGATGATCGCTCAATAGATAAGCACCTGTTCCTTACAAAATCTATGAGTGGTTGAACTTTCCGCAGTTTGTTGTTTTTTTTTCATTTCATCACTAACCAAATTTACAAAATGTAGATTGACTCTCAGTTGAAAAAAGCGATCTCGAGACATTATTGATGCAATAGAATAGTATCGAAACTTAGCACTCCAATAAATTCGGAGACGAGGAAATTTAATACAATCAATAATCACATGAATTCCAAAAAAAAATGTTTTATTTCAATAGAAGATGTCTTTAATATGTTACCTGTACTTCCATGTAATATTGATTAGTGCACAACGCCGCTAGTTCATATAACTCTTCGGGAAAATATTTTTTAAAATATCCCATAGGTGTACCCACAGGTAAGGTTTTCGGAACTTTTTCGACAAATAATTTAGATGTGAACGATTGTACGCGCCATTTTACGCGCCATTGTACGCGCCATTGTACGCACCCTTTGAGTGCTAGCGACGCATATGTGCGTTCCGGCGTAGTCACTCCACCAGTGCTAGCGACGCATATATGCGTTTTCGCTTTTATCAACCGAAAAATGATGCGATCGTTCATATCATGTATACCTTCATGTAGATAAATAATATATTATTCCAATGAGGTCTTAAACAATTAAATCGGATAAATATCAAAGAAGTTCTAGGTGAAACAAAAATCTCGTCTTGTCAGTGGTGACCAAAATGGCAAAATCAGTATCGTTGTTTATTTTGTTTTATCTACGCGCGTAAACGACGCCGTGTTTACTTGCGTAGGTAGTTGTTTATTTCACAACATTTTTTACTTTCTTTTCGTGTTTGTGATTTTTGTTATTACAAGTTACAACGATTGATGTTAGATTTTTTTATAAACATTTTATTGTACAATTATTATTGTATAAATAATTTTAAATGTTATCGGACGCTGAAATAGCAGATCAGTTGGATGAGATCCTTGCAAATCCAGAATCCGACGATGAATTTTTTGACGAAATAGATACTGGATATGATGATGATGGTATGTACTTCCTATGGTTTTTGTATAATATGTATGCAAGTTGTTTTACATATATTTACAAATATATTATAACATAATACTATATTGTAAAAAATGACTTGTTATTATATCATAGATTTTGATATGGATATTTTGGTGCCATCATCTTCACCAGAGCCATCTTCACCAGTTGATGCCCAACCACTTTCTCATTTTCCCTTTCAATCTCCAAAAACAGTTGGTCCAAAAGTGCAACATGCAAAAAAAACACCATTGCATACTCCAGATTTCAAATGGAAAACTAATAAAAATTTTCATCCGAAAACTTTTGATTTTGACTACTCTAAGGTATAAACATTTTGTAGTTCTTCATCAACATAGTACCTAGTATTGGACATACACATTATACTCGTATTGATCATAAAACTCATATTCAACATAAGATAAGTATATTTCAATTTTTTAACTTTTAGTATGTAATATTATATACTAATATTCAACATAGTCATAACCATAAGATAAGAGTATTTTTATTTTTGTGTTTTAGTTAGTTATAAATCATTATAGTAGTATTGGACATACACACAATCATACACATATTGATCATATTACAATTCATATTCGACATCATCCTGACAATAAGATAAGTATATTTTAATTTTTTAACTTTTAGTATGTAATATTATATACTAATATTCAACATAGTCATAACCATAAGATAAGAGTATTTTTATTTTTGTGTTTTAGTTAGTTATAAATCATTATAGTAGTATTGGACAAACACACAATCATACAACTCATATTCAACATAATCCTGGCAATAAGATAAGTATGTTTATGTATGTAGGTATGAAGATATATATATATCTATATGACTATATAGATGTATATATATCTACATACCTCAGATCATACAACTCATATTCCACATCATCCTGACAATAAGGTAAGTATGTATAGGTATGTCATATAAATCATCATACTCATATTCACATCATCCTAACCATAAGATATTATGTAATTTTTTTTTTTTAGTGTGGAGTTCAAAAGCATGAATTTAATTTGCATGATGATTCAAGTATTTTGGAATTCTTTGAAGCTTTTGTCTCAGAATTTTTGCTAGGAAAAGTAGCTTTTGAAACAAACAGATATGCTCATCAATTTTTACAACATGAAGTTTTATCTGAGCATTCCAGAGCAAAAGGTTGGAAAGACGTAGACATTAGTGAGCTTTATGTGTTTATAGCAACAACTCTATTGATGTCAAGAAATAAAAAGCTTGACATGAAGGACAACTGGTCAAATGATCCACTTCTTTATACACCAATTTTTGGTAAAATTATGTGTAGGGATAGGTACTTACTGATTCTAAGAATGATTCATTTTTGCAATAACGAGATCCAAGTAAGTGGTAATCGCTTATTCAAACTTGACATGGTATTGGATGAAGTTAGAGCAAATTTCAAAGCAGCTATGGTTCCCTTTCAAAACTTAGTAATAGATGAGAGCTTAGTCCTCTGGAAAGGCAGGCTAAGTTTTAAACAATTTATTAAGTCAAAACGACACCGTTTCGGAATAAAGTTCTTTGTGCTCTGTGATGTTGAGACGGATTATATTCTTGACTTCATAATATATACTGGTGCTGAAACTCGACTACTACCATATGATATAAATATTGGAATATCTGGAGGTGTAGTGAAAACACTAATAGCACCTTATTTGAATAAGGGATATAATTTATACACTGATAACTGGTACACTTCTCCAATATTGTCTCAATATTTACTAAAAAAAAAAACAACTTTGACTGGAACAGTAAAAAAAACAGGCGAGGAATGCCTCCATTGAAGAATAAGCTGTCTGCTGGAGGTGTGCAAAGTTCCCATACCAAAAATATTATGGTTTTAAAATGGTTAGACAGAAGGGAAGTATTTATGTTATCCACATTGTATGATGATAAACTAGCAGACTCTGGAAAGGTTGATAGAAAAGGTGTGATGATAAAAAAACCAAATTGTGTAGTCAATTATAATGCTTGTATGGGTAGTATTGACAAGACTGACATGTTACTCAGCTCGGTGGAATGTGTTAGGAAAACCTTGAAATGGTATAAGAAAATATTTTTCCATCTAATAGATCTATGTATTTTGAATGCTTTCTCGACCTACAAGACAGTTACTGGAAAAGTTATGTCATTAGCAAATTTTCAACTAGAGTTGATAAGACAACTATTGGAAAAATATAGCAGCCCAACTAAAAGCCCTAACAGCAGAGGAAGACCAACCTCTAAAGATCAACCATTCCGACTGACAGGTAGACATTTTCCCTCAGATGTACCAACAACCAATACTGGCAAAGCAAACAGGAGAAGGTGTGCAGTTTGTATCAAAAAAAATAAAAGGACAGATACTAGGTACATGTGTTCTGATTGTGATGTTGGCCTTTGTGTAACACCATGTTTTGGAATATACCACACCAAAAAAAATTTAGGAACTAAATTATTCTAAAACCAAAAACTTGTATAGGTAGGCTATTTGGCTGTTTATAATATTATGTAAGATCATAATCCTGAAAATATGATATTACAATAAAGAAGGTTTCATCTATTTGAAAAGTTGTAATTATGTTCCTTTTTAGCACACTACAACAAAAAAAAAAAACACTTATGTGTCTAACGTCTCACGTTTAACGTCAAAAAAACTATTATAACTACATGGAAAAAAAAAATACTATAAAAATAAATTCATCATAATTATATATCTATATATTATAATATCATGTATCAAATTCAAAAAATTAATCAAAATTAAAGGTATTATAAAAAATATTATGCATAATATATATTATAAATACATGAAAATATAATAAACCGTATTGTCGCTAACCGTTAACGGATAATTGGGAACCAATGGACTACAAATTTTGAATTAATTCTAACTTTATAAATTTTGGTTAAATTTTTTTTTTTTTTTTACATTTGCTTTTTATTTATCATTTTCAATCAGCAAAAAATATTAAAAGAACAAAATTAAAAAAAAAAAATAATTCAGTCCAGGAGTACACCATAGGATTTATTAATTCAGCACTCAAAGGGTTAACTTTTTCGAAAATCGAGGTATCACTTTTTTCGTTACTCGTAACACTATCATCGACACTTTCTTGTCTGCCAGTTACAAGTGGTTCGTCCTCTAATTCTAATTCAGAATCACTAGACAAAAAATTACTTTCATATTGATTGGGTAAAGTAAAGCTTGGATCTGCATCATAATCTTCGACATCTTCAAATTCTAGGTGGGAACCTTCTAACAAATCTAAAATTTGATCGACATTCATGGTAGACGCAAATGTGTAGCAATAGACCGGATACTCACGAACGTGATACTAAATATTGTTCGTGTAATTACGACGACAAAAACAAATATTACGTAGCCTATGATGTTAGAAACGGTTTTGAAATCATGTGATTAATAAAACAAAACAATTAATTCATTGCTTTCGCTAATATATACCGAGAAAATAACTCGAAGACTAAGGATTTATCAAACTGATAAAAATCTAAAACCAATAATACGTGGAGCATGGCTGGGTTTTACCCGATTACTTTTAAAATTAGATAAAACGATAGAACGTAACCTTCACAATCGTGCGAGATCGGTCTGAACAGAGGAGAATAAATATAACAATAAAAAAAAAAAACCATACCCTCACGATCGTGCCTTGTCGATCTGTAAGGGATATAAAGTCATTAAGTGATATCTTTTACGATAACGATGATATTGAGATAGTAAACTTGTCTGGGGTCATTATTTACCCCGCTCGCGTTACCAAAGGTTAAGAACTTAAATACATTGCATGTTCTACCGCTTTGTTTATTGATTTATGCTTGTTTGATATTAATAGTTTATTGACACAACAGAAATGAAAGTGGTGAATAGTAATGTAAATAAAATACTGTTTTTCACCTAAAGTGAAATAACCATAGTATGATATTATGATATTTATATTATAATAGGAATAGTACAAAAAAACCTAATAAAATAGACTGTTATAATAACATATCGAATATTAAAACAAACTTCTGTGGAAACTAACAAAAGAAAAGATCGATGGGCAATTTTTTAGAAGTAATTTTACACTCTATCATCTGTATCAATTGAAATTAATATTTTATCTTTATTCAAATAATTATCATTTCCAAAGTCAGTAGTTTATTTTAACACATGACTAATGACTTTTTTATAATGTAAAAAACTTAACATGAAACAATTACGGTTATAATTTTATAATATTAGTTAATAACATTGATTATTGGAGAATTTGATGCATTGACATATTTCTTTCAAATGCTTTTATAGAACACTCGTCTATTGGCAAATGCAGCTTGTGTTTGTAAAATTAAATGTGGTGTAAAAATTGTACTTGGCATCTATTGAACTTTTACAGTGATTTTGGTGTATTTTTTTCATGTGTTGTCTCAACAACAAGTGCTTAACATTGCAAATGTTATGCTCAGCCGATCACGTTTAACTGAATTTGTTAAAAAATAGAGTGAACTGAAATAATGTGATCTGCTGAGCACATCATTTGCTATATTAAGCACTTGTAAGACAGAGACAGCACCTGTGGGTACCATGTCCTCTTAAATTATCTTGAGTTATCTAATTAACTTTTAACATTTACAAATAAAAAAAAATAAAGGTCTCTTTCAAATTTAACCTTAACTTACATTTATCTATGATAACTTAACTTAATAAGTTTAAAAAAAAATATTGAACTTTGCCTAGCCTTGTAACATTATAAATTGAATTATTTAACTGTCAGGAATACTTAACTAATATTCCATTGGAAAAAATACAGAATTTAACATTTAAAAATTGTCTTTCAAGCATACAAATAAAATAATAGCCAATGAATCAACTTTAAGAAAATGTCATGTTTTTCAATGCTGCCAGGAAATATTCTACAAAATCATATCTTACGTAGAAATTACAGTAGTTAGCAAATATTAATTGAATTTTTTGATAATTATTAAGTCATTTACGATTTGTAATTCATCAAGTTACATTTCTCAACAATAACTAGGGACATTCAACTGTACTTTTAGATTTTTTCGTGGTGTTATTTACCGGTTACTGTTTGAAGGAATGTTAGCAATGTATATACGCTTTAATTGTTTGCAATTTATGAATGCCACTTTAGAAGAGAGATTATTCCAGATATTATCAACAGTCATTGTAATTGCGATACATTAAGAGAATTTCAAATTAATTAAGTTAAATTTAAAATATAAAAATAGACATTGGTATTTAACACATGTGTATGTATATCTAGAAAAATATTCACCAGTAAACTTCCAGTTCTGTTAAAAGACTATTTTTCAAACGCATTTTTTAACCTTATTACTAGGTGCATATTTTGTAGATTGTATTGACATGTACATTATTATGCTTTCATCATTATAAGATATTGAACTGAACCACAGTAAAATTGTATAATTTAACATTTCAATGATATACCGATAGAAACGAAATGTTTAATTTATTCTTTTGTCCTATCATTGAAAAAAACACAATTATATCATCTTAAATTTAGAATGAAATATTAAAATATTATTCATTAGTAGCTATCCTAAATGTAATTTATGATAGTGAAACATCCAAAACAATAATAAAAAGGATAGGTGTGTTGTATGATTGTGACTTGGTGTATTGGACCACAGCAACCAGTAAAATGTTCCAGTGACTTTCGTGTTTCAGTATTCAATTTTCATCAACAGCTTGTCATTTTCGTATCCCATCTCAAATTACAGAAGCTGAAAACAATTTTAGCAATTTAATAGGGTAAGTTGGGTTCAATAAGGCTAAGGTTATACTTTTGAGTATGTCAGCCCAGATAGCAAAATTATGTTATAATAATATTCTAGCAATGTGAAATATAAAATAACAATATTCTACATTAGGTTCCTTCAATCTTTTTAAATATTCTTGTAATATTCTCAGAAAGTTTTTTGTCAACAATTTTCATATTCTGAGAATATTATACTATAATATTATCATAATCTTATTCTTATAACATAATCATCATGTTATTAAAACAATACTCTTATAATATTATTCACTTAACATTCTGTTAATGATCTTTTATATTCCAGTAATACTGTTGTTATACAAATTAAAGGGGAACAAATGTGATGATTAGGGTAGTCAAGTTACTGTTTTTAAAACCATACTAAATTGATTGCATTATTGCATTGAAACATTGAAATTTAAAAAAATTAATAAAATGTACATAGGTAATAGGAATTAAAGTGAAGAAATCAAATAATATGATGCATAACAATTATTAATTAATATTAGATAATGTTAACTAGGGAAATGTAATAACATATTAACAACAGTAAGAATTGTGTTATTATAATAATATAAACTATAAATTATATTATGCATGAGCATGAATCACAAACCTATAATACAATAAAACAACAATAGATATACATCAAGAAAATTATAATATAATAATTTTTATTAACCTCAAAACTATCTTGTTTATGGCTATAGTTTAAGACACCAACCGAAACAGAACAGCATAAGCAATACAAACTGGACAGGTGCTACTGACAATTTAGGCCAGCTTAGAATTATAATAAAATGATGAATATAAATTAATAACAAAAATAATAATAATCAGCTTAAAGAAAAAAAAAACAAAACATCTTCTTAATGTTCAAACAATTTTATAAAACAATATGGGTGGTCATAATGATCATTTCAATTTTTTCAACAATCTGAACGGTGCATGTGCTAACCAAACGCCCAGTGGTAGTTCAATTTCTCGATCCGTAGCCATTTTATACTTGACGTGCATTCTTAGGGAATCTAGTATAATAAGAATGTTTTAAATTAAAACAACATTATGTCAAACTGACAAATACATCATTATTTTAGTAGTGATTAATATGATTAAAATATTACCTATAACAACACGATACAGCATCAACTTAGTGAACGGTTTTTTTTTTTTAAACCCAATGAGTGAATAATTTACTAAAAATTCATCTTCAAACATTTTGGCAACTATTCTTCGAATGCTGTGACCCAAATCTGAAGCAACTGCGATCAAAGATAGTTTTGAAACCTAAATATAATATAATAAAATAGGTACATGAATATACATTTTTTTTTTTTAATTTAACAAGTCTTATAAACACATTCATAAAAAATATCTGTAATTGAAATTAAGTTACGAGTATAATTTAATTTTAATTAAAACTATATATTTTATACAAATTGGTCATTTAATTAACAATATATAAATAATATAGTAGGAAAAACTAATAATATTTAAATTTTACCAAAATGTTCCGGAATTGAGTATCTTGGATAATTTTAGATTCGATACTTGTTAGCTGCTCATCAGTGTTTATTGGAAATATAGAATGTAAATCTACATCCTGATGATTATCACGTGATAACGCACAGTTCGCTACAGATTTACCGGTCAAACTATCCATCAGAGACTCTATATTTGTATGCATGACATTAATAACACTCATCATTTTATTAATATCGTATTTCATATGAGTGACTGTTGTGAAAATATATTTTTCATAATCTGTTAAAAATAATTAATAATTAGTAATTTAGTATAATAATAATATTTGATAAGTAATTAATTATTACCTGGATTATCTGACTTAAAAGACTCAATGTTAAAATTATTTTGTGTAGATGTATTTGATTCGTTTTGGAATATTTCTAAAAATATATGATGTATAATATACCAATTTAAAATAAATAAAAATGTAGGTTAATTATTGTAAATACCTATAATACATACTTGATTTCTTGGGTATATTATTTTCATGAAATAATACTCTTTTCACTCTTAAAGTGTCGCCATTTTTATCGTTTTCATAAATTATATTTTTATCAATGTTATCCACAGTCCAATTTGCAGTTGGAGAGCATAATACTTTTGAATAGCCTGTTGATATTTTTGGAGATGGAGTAGGACTGATAGATATAGTATTGTGATCATTACCTTAAAAATATTACAATATATTTAAGTAAATATTAAAAACTATGAAGAAAGGAACTAGATACTTTAAAATAGATATCAACACTTTATCTTATTATTAATTAGAACATAATACAATTATAAAATCGAAATTTATACTTCCAAATTAAAAAATACTATAATTTTGGCGTCAATATGCAATAGTTGAGGTAACAGTGAAGAACTTTTAAGGAAACTCATAAAACCTACTGATGATCTACAATATAACTTTATAACAACATGACCATTTTATTATAACATTTAATAAAGCCAAGTATAATAAGGTTTGGAACTTATAATTTACATTTTAGTATAAAAATTATTATTATTTATTAAATGTCACTACATATAAAATGAAAAACTAAGTCTATATATTAATTGTAAGAAACTATGGTACTATATTTATTAGAATTTCTTACAATTTATAGGTAGATATAGGCTTAACTTTTTATTTCATATATGTAGTGACATTTTATATATAATAATAATTTTAGTAAGTTCCCAACCTTATATTATTATTTTTAACCTTAATATTAAACTCTGATATTTTAAGTGTTATAATAAAATGGTCTTATACAGTTGTCATATAAACCATGGATGTTCAAGTATAAAAGTTGTTCATTGTAAATCATAATTAATATGTAAGTGCTTAGCTGTGTCTTTTCTATTAACTGATTATATATTCAGGCATATATGTTAGGTGTAATATAGGTACAATTATTATTATTACTAGTACTTTTATTTAATTTCCACGATGGATCAGTGTCTGAATCATCTGCATTTGATGAATCTGAAGGTACTAATAAATTATCATAAATACTTTTTTTGTTGACTAGTGAACTAGTTGTTGCAACACAATCTTAAACAAATAATAACATTAAGATTAAAATAATAATGTTACAAACATTTATTGAAAATTACTAATTGAAGAAAATATTTCATAAAATGATGTCATCATTATCTTCTTTAATAAAATCGCAATATTTTTTTGGTTGTGGGCATGTATTTGCTAAATGGTCTTTTTTAGTTTTGAACATGTCAGGAGATATACTTTTTGATTTTTTTTTGATTTTCCTAACTTCATCGTCTGTACTGGAAAAATCAGACATACGAGTAGCTTTTGGTAATTTGGTTCTGGTTTCAGCTAAAGATGCTATATTATATAGTTTAAATATTGAAAATATATTATTAGTTACATAACTATACATCATTTGCTTTCATAAAAACAATTAAAATTTACTGTAAGATTTTTTTCCTAGTTTTCTAGCAGGATGATAAGTAAAATCTTTTTTATTGGGTTTTTGTTGAAATTCAATAAATTTCTTTACATTTTTTGTTTTGGCGGGCCAAGCGCAAGAATCTTGTTTTTTGTTAAGCCAAATATTTGGTACGGCCTCTACACTATTTTCATCCGTGAAATATACAACAGTCCAATAGTTTTCCATTTTACTAAAAATAATAATATAAAAAATAAAAAATTACTATGTATTGCGATAAGATTATATCATTAAATTGCAGGTAATTTATAAAAACCTGTGATATTTAATTTACTAAGACAACAGATTTATTCATTGTGTCCAATAGTATGTATAATAGGCATGGCTATTAAAGTACCATAATTTTCCAGAACCATAAGTTTTTTTTTAATGCTTGTTAACTTCCAACAATTCAAATTCATTGATAAATTATCCAATATAAATATTTCCAAGACTGTAGAATTTATAGGATCAGTGAAAAATGGTAATAATGTTTCATACTTTTTACCAATTAGTAATATTTCATCAGATACTTGAATAATATTTAAACATTTTACTACTTCTCCATTTTTGGTCAAAATAGTACAATCTTTATTAAATTTAACATTAATTTTAAATTGACTAAATATTAAAGTATAATATTGTTGTCCATTGATATTTTTTGTTATTGGACCATTGTTATGTGGGTGCTTTAATTCTGATTTGTCATTATAATTTATTAAATTAATAGATTCTTTTCTATTAATTGAATTTATTTCAGAATAACGATTAATAACTTGCAGTAATGGTTGATCTGCTTTTCTTACCAAAGACTTAATTTTTTTCATATAATTTTCAAATAAAAATGAACTGCAGTTATCTAGAGGACCGAATTGCTGGTAGTCATCACACAAATGTAATAAAGCATGAATATTATGCGATAAGAAATGTTTTCCATATATTTTTTGAAAACTCATTACAAAATAATCTAAAAGATGTTTAGTATAAGGTATAAGACAACTGTGATCTGGACTAAGAAGTATTATCATAGAAATATTCAGAGCCATAAAATTAGTGTAGCATTCATCACTTATAATTTTTTTTAAGACAATCGGACCTGTATACAACAAAAATAATCGGAATTCTGTAGCCTTCCACCGATGAATTTCGTTCATACTTCTACTCTTTCTTGAAAAATCAGATGTGATACCTAGATTCATTGATATCAATGATAAAGACAATTCCTTCACTTTTCTTGAATTAAGGCTGACGTATAAAGGACCTTTTTGTATCCATAGAAGCATCAACTTTTTCATGACTCCTAAGCATACCAGGTGCATATAATCAAGAGAGAATTGTTTAACTGAATCGAATCCTGGTAATTCATTAAGTACAGAAAGAGTCTGAGATGTCTGAAAATCATCATCTATAAAATTAGTATAAGCCTGATGAGTTCTCTCTGTGCACTTCTTCTTTGAATATGGAAAACATACTCTTTTATTCAAATATTGTCCATCAATCGTGCAGCGTGTGCACGAAGAAAAACCCGTATGGCTTTTAATTTTTAAAACAAAAGCCTTTGCGGGGGCGTCACAGCAATATGCACTAATTAAGATTTTTCTTTTTACTTGATTTACAATTAAACCATTCTTAATCAAATCTTTAGCTTCTGTAATGAAATCAGATAAAAAATTATTGCTATCTTTGGGTTTCTCATATCCAAAATAAATTCCAATAGGAAAAACTTTTTTTAATAATGGAGGTGAAACTACTACATATCCCAAGATTGGCCAAAATTGTGCACCACTACTCTTAAATAGTGGAAGTCCATCTATGCCTATAACAATTTCTACGTTCAGCATATTATCTGGAGTATATTTCATAATACCAGTTGTTAATCCAAAATGAAAATAAGTGCCGCAGGGATCAACACTTCTTAATTTTGTAGAAGTTTGTTTGGGAGTAGCCAATAACGTTCTAGAGTCAACTGGAAAATCTTTGAAACATTTGTGTTTTTTTAAACCTTTAAGCAAGTTATTGACAGCATTATGAGGTACATTAAATGTAATAGACCAACTATAGTCCCGCCGGCGAGAGAACGCTTTTGGGCGGCGACCAAAATTCGTCCGATCTCGCGCATTCCCACCACTAAACCTTCCCAAACGCTGGCCGCCGTCAACTCTGGCCGCCGCCACCGTCGCCGCCACCGACTAGGTGGTAGAGTGGGAGAAATTTGGGTACGAAACCGCGGAGCTCTGTCATTTGGATGCGCGAACGAGTAGCGTTCTCTCGCCGGCGGGACTATAGCAATAAAGTCTTTTATAGACTCAGCATCTTGAAATCCAGATTCGGGAAGTTGACTTACAGTATTTTCAGAATATTCAGGCATAACATTTGGCTCATTTAGTACAGTAGGTGTAATGCATAATGGTGTTATGTTTTGTAAATGTTGAGGTATATATACATCTGGAGAAATATTTGAAGGATCATGATCATGTAATGGACTATTTTCATGATTATCGCCGAGGTTTTTGGAACAATTAAGTTGGTTTGAAGTTATCTTATTAGTTTCAATAAGTTCAAGAATATTGAGTTCATTTTGAATTTTTCTTTTTTTAGTGCGTTCACTTTTTATCATTTTATATAAAATACCAAAGGCACAATTACAGAAAAATGTTGATGTGCTAAAAAAATAAAACATATATACCTATAGGTAAGTTAAATTCCTATATACCTACTTTTTTTCAAAATGTATAAGAAATATGAATAAGATTAGTAGGTTACTCATCAAAGAAATTATTGTAATTGATATGTTATTTTGTTAAAATTTATATTATTAGGTACCTACCTATAATGTAACCCAAAACGCATAATATTATGTATTTCACATCAAATTAGATATAATGTTAAATTTAATATATTTTGTACCTTTTGACAACTGGCTATATATGGTTACTTTCAAAATGTTCTAATCAAAGTTCTCAATGAATTTGTTTTTAAGATCATCATACACCTGCATACGCATTGTCTTACATAATTGTCTGGTCCTACATAATGTTACAAATCATATTATGCTCCCAGTAATCTATTTAACTCTGTGTTGTTTAATATTATGCATAAGGAATTTTTCACTTAAAATAATAAAATATATTTCAAAAAGTGCAAATATTCGTTTACCTATTTAATATTTGATATTTTTATTATATTAAGTATAACAGTACCTATAATATATAACTGTATTCTGTAATAGATTACCATTTACTTAACCTAATTTATAACTGTAAGATACGTCTTGTAATAGATACAAAGTTTAACATTTGACAAAAATATGAGATGGAACTTACACATTACAATTAATAGATATTGTTATGGGCTTACGTGTACTAACTATTTTAAAGGGGATAAGTGGTGATTTTTTGTATTAATCTAACACACACATGGAACATAATATTATATTATTATGAATTTAAACGTGTGTCATGTTCTATGTCAAATACATACAGATTTCAATAGACCAATCGGTATGGTTGACATATTAAAACACATCTAAATTCCTATATCCCACGTGTGTGGTAAGACAGAAAATCACAATTTACAATAATTTTAAGTATAACAGTTAAATAGATTATTCACATAACCTATTATGATAATGCATTTGTACGGCGTAGACAATAGTAGACTATTACTGGTATATATTCCTCTTAAATTGTATCACTAGGTAATCCACATACGTCATACATAATATATATTAATATAATATGTTATGATACATACGGATAGAATCAAATATTCCAAAATATAAAAATATTATTAAATAATTTAATACTTACAACAAAATAACTTCTATGTACGACACTACGACAGTCACTGTTACAGACTTACAGGTTAGTGTGTACTGGAGACTGGAAGGTAGAAAATCACTGCGTCCATATGCCTCATAAACAATTATTATTGTATCTAAACAAATTCACAACAAAGTAGAGAATATAAATTATAATATAATAATATAAAGATAATACGCACGTGATCAATATTGTGAATTGTAACGAGTACTAGGTAACGACCAACGACCGACGCGTCGCGATGGGTGAGCGGGCGACGATACAAACAACAACAGATATTTGTGGTATCTATTAATAAGTATTATTAATATTGTCTTTGTCTCCAATCTGCGTCTGGTACGCCGAAACGAAACCGATGATTATTGATAGTTGATACCATGTTCGTTAAATAATAAATTCTGATGATGAGATTTTTTGTTATCGAAACTAAATCTCGTGTGTTTCAGAACGCACACCAGAAGTATAATTTACTTGGTGTTAATCGAGAATGGTAAAATCACAAACGGTTCAATCGATCGACTAATAGGTAAAGGGGGGGGGGGGAATGGTCTGCGCTGCCGATAATAATAATCAATAATAAATAACAATAATCGGCGTCCGTAGCGTTCGATAATTTTATTGTAAGGTATATACGATAACGATTATAGTGGAATGACAGAATACGGAAATATAACGACGCCGAACGGTAATACGATTACGATTAATGAGTTATTAAAAGAAATAGCCTATTTTTTCTCGTCCGAATAATTACGTCCGGTAGTATGACGTTTGGATAGTTGGAGTTCTTTCCTTCTACTGCATTTATTATAATATGATACATTATATTATATTATTATCATTATTTAATATTTAAATGACACAAATCAATACTCTGATATTTACAACAAATTAAACTATATAATATATACTATTATTATATATCTTTATATGTTTTTTAAACTTTCAACATAACTATATGTAATATGGATATGAGACAGGGTGCAACATAAAGGGTTCAATAAAACATCCCGTTATAGATTCTCATTTCTCAGCGGAGCGAACGAGGGATGTATTGACTTTATAATGATGGTTTTTATTTCCATTATTTTATTTCTTTAGGAATACTCCAAGAAGAACATAGACATCTTATTGATTTTATATGTTATTTTATGTTAATGTTATTATATATATATATATAATATTGATTGACATTTTGGTACATACGTAATTTACTAATATTTTAAAATGTTGATATTGATTTAAAATTAACAGAATAATTAAAATAAACAATTGTAAAATGTGTCCCTTCAGTCCTTGGACAGGATAGTGTAATTTTACAGTATTCGATTTGAATGCAATGATTGCATTCGATAAAAAACGATACTGAGTAGCTGAAAGAATATTTTTTATTTTATTTTATTTTTAAATTCTAATCACTTAATCATTTAAGCGTTAAAAATTTAAATCCTGTTTTTAGCAGTTTTATGTAAATTTTTGGTGGTTTTCCCGTTGCGTTAAATAATAATTGGGAAAATTCCCGAAAAATTACCTCATTAAAGTACCATCTAGATCCAATTTTCTAAAAGATAAGATACTATAATATGTTTTAATCGAAGCACTCCTTCTGGTAGAAATT